TAAACTTTATTGAAGTGTAATTTACATGTAATAATATATGCCCATATTAAGCGTACAGTTTGATGAGTTTTGACAGATATATTAAATATGTAACTATCACCACAAACAAGATATAGAATATTTCCCTCACCCGAAAAAGTTCCCTTATGCTCCTTTGCTGTTAATCCCACTGCCAGGTAATCCCTCTGGTCTCAGGTAATCCCTCTGGTCTCAGGTAATCACTGCCCTTTCAGTCACTAGTTTAGGATTTCATATATATAGTATCATAATTTTTCTCATTGATTATTTGAATAACAGTGTTTGCCAGGTTTCTCCATTATAAAGTTACATTTTACCTCTTGGTATATTACTAAATAACCTGTAGGAAGGTACTTTGAGACTGCAGACATATCCTGTTACTAAACAAACTTTAGCCAATTATCTTAGCATATATTAATGATTTTTGTCTGAATCCATTTTTACATTGAAGGCTGCTGAATTGTCATTTTCTAACTGTTATTCCTTCTACATTTATCACTTAGCATTCTACTAAGGAAAAGATCTCCCTGTCTTTCTTATCCCTCTCTCCCTCTCTTCCTCCCTCCCTCTCTCTCTCCCTCCTCTCCCTTACCTCTATCTATCTATCTATCTATCTATCTATCTATCCATCCATCCATCCACCCACTCTCAGTATGCACTCAATAGACTCTTATTTTATTCAATGGGTCATAATCCATTACTGCTATTATTCATTTTGATGCCCAGATTGTCTCAGATTTGGCTAGGGGGAAGCCCTTTCAAACTGGTTCCTGTGTTGTTTTGACATGCCCTTATTATGTTTTGAGCACTTTGTTACTTTCTGGCGCAAGATATTCCAGGCTCATTTTATACTTTCCCTGTCCCAGCCCTGGAACCAGCCATTTCTCTAAGGAGCCTGGTTTTAGTGGGGAATAGTATTCAGAGATTTTAGGCTTTTTAAGCTGAGTAGTTCCTTACTACTTCTAGATTCCACGTTTATGGTGTTTTCTCCTATCATTTTAACTGATATTTTTAAAGGACTTTATGCTTATTTATTTTATGTAATAAAGTTTAACATCATAACTACCCAAGAAGTACCATTTTCACTAACACTCTTATTTTACAGGACTGTTTGCATATTTCTAAATTTGATTTGTGGTCTTCATGAGAGAGGTCATTTAGTCAAATCTTCATACTTTGTGCAAGACTTCCAGTGTGTCCTTCTAGATAGATGAGAATCAACCTGTTTTAAAACTTCAGAAGAGCAGATTTTACAGCCTCTGGGGAAAATGTACCAATAATCAGTGGCTAACACTCAAGGATTATATGCATTTTTTGCTCACTTCTCTAAAGGGAAACATTTTTTTCCTAAAAGCCTTTCCCCACTTTCTTCCCATTTCTTTGTTTTCCTTCTACCCCTTCCACTTTTTTATTCTTCCTGTTATTCTCTTCCAAATGTTTAGTGTCTTACTGGATATAGGCCATTTTTTAGCTACCCTCCAGTTCCTTATATTTTTTAGAGTGGTCTTAATTTATATTATGATTTTCATCTTAATACTCTTTGAATTTTAATGTTATTTATGTTGTAGGACCTACATTTAGACAAAAAGCTGAGATTCTTTTTCTAGTTGCCAGTGTTTTAATTCACCAATTAATGTTTTTAAATAAAATTTCTCATTATACCAGTATTATTTTTTCAGTGATGAAAATTTGAAAAATTCTCTAAAGAACAAAGAAGAAAATAAAAATCATCCATAGACTCATCACCCAGAAATAACAATAGTTTTTTTTTAATATACCTATTTTTTGAGCTCAGACGTAGAGAATGGACTTGAGGACATGGGGAGGGGGAAGGGTAAACTTGGACGAAGCGAGAGAATAGCATTGACATACATACACTACCAAATGTAAAATAGCTAGCTAGTGGGAAGCAGCCACAAAGCACAGGGAGATCAGCTCTGTGCTTTGTGACCACCTAGAGGGGTGGGATAGGGAGGGTGGGAGGGAGGCGCAAGAGGGAAGGGGATATGGGGATATATGTATACATATAGCTGATTCACTTTGTTATACAGCAGAAACTAATGCAACATTGTAAAACAATTATACTCCAATAAAGATGTTTAAAAAAATTAAAAAATAAAGACTAATACTTCAATGGAGACTTTCAGTACCCTTGTTTCAAGTATTTACATATTAAATGGACATTTTCTAGTATCAATTATAGTAACTATATTTGTATATGTATAACTATATTTGTGTATCTATAACAATTATAATAACTATATTTGTATTTATATTTCAAGGTCATCTCAACCCACTTTTATCTTTAGCCCCAATAAATCTTGGGTCCTACCCGTAACTCATATACTTGAGGGTCAGACAAATAACATACACATTTATGGAGGGGAAGGGTGTAGGGATTCTAAAAAGTAGAGACTGCAGACTCCACCTAAAGGCATTCAGATTCAGAAAGTTAAAACCACTGTGTTGGCCAAACAGAGCACATCTTCAGGCTGTTGGCTATCTCAGCTCTACTCTTTCCTAAAAGACTAGTTAGTATATCTGCAGAAATAGTGGCCTGTTTTTCTGGTACTTTAAGATAGATGTAATTTAAATAAATCTGGATTGCACAGAAGTCTTTATCACATCTTGCCCTAATGTGCTTTATCACCTTCCAAGTTCTTAGTTTCTCTAGCTGAGCACCATCAGGTCAACTAATCTAATAAAAATAGATCCAGCAAAGGCCTTTAGATAGAACATTCATGCTTCTCCCTCGCTACTCTGAAAAAATATAGATAGTTCACATTAATCCTAGGCTCTGGACAGTAGGGTGGGTTAGCCCGCGTCTTGGTGCAGTTTTTACAAGTTGGAGGCAACTAGGGTCAATTTTCTGTGTCTTGCCATGCCCCACCCTAATGCCCATACCATAACTGTTTTTCCTAACTATGGAAATGGGTCAACATTTCTCTAGTTTTATTTTCTTTTTAAAATTCTTCTAAAAGTCTTTTCTTTGTAAAAAGTTATTGTTTGTGAATATATTCTACTTTTTAATTTTCACTTCATAAATTATATTTCATAAATATGAAATATATTTTATTTCACATCATACATCAACTTGCTATTTATTATTTATCTTACACTAAAAGGATTACAGGTTCAGAGACTCCTAGACTGGAAGGGACTTAGAGATTGTGACCATCATCATTTATAATACAATTAACTGAATAGTGTGAAGTTGCTCTGTCATTTGGGTTTGGTCAGGAAAACAGAGCCATGTTATGTATTGTGGCAATAAGGAGTTTAATAGACCAATCTGGGCTTACACAAATGTGGGAGAAATTGAAGTAGGAGGATCAGAGAAACAGCCTGAAGCACTGGAGTAGAGGAAGAAAGCCATGGGTGCATTGTAGGGAAGAGGTCTGGATGCTACTGTATCTGACCAATGAGACCTTCCAAAAATAATGGCCTCTCCTTCACTTCTGCCTTTCAAATCTTAGGCAAGTTCTTCTCACTGGCAGACTGTAAGCTGAAGCTCTAGAGAAGGGGATCTTGAGGCATGTCACTGCAGGCATCACTGGTAGTGATGATAGCAAGTGAATCTGGCACAGTTGCTTACCTAATTCATGGTGCTCATTCACTCTGTCACCTTCACCTTTCTTAATCTTTTCCTAGACTATGATGAATGTGTGTCTCCATTGATCATCAAGCAGTCGTGGAGTCTTGACATCTTGTACTTTTTCACAGAATCATTTTAGATTGCTTCCTATACCTACAGACATCTTTCTAAAAGTTATAAAAAAGTAACTAATTTCTCTCATACCTACTTCTTGAACACTAAACCCGAGATAGGTTCACTCTTTAAACATTGCTTGTACCTTGTTCACTAGAGCAGAGACTCAGGTTGCTAGAGCTGCAAACACAAATTTTATCAATAATTTAGACTTTCAGGCTTAGGAAGGAAATAATACAAGTAAAGACAGCAGG